TTTTTTTTAGTGTTCTGTCTGACGACAGGTCCATATGAACAGGATCCTTCCATCCTTTTCTCGGCCTGGGACCTGTTCATATACGTTCTTGGCAGATGATCCAGAAGTGGTTTGCCATTGCCTTCTTCTGTGTGTGAATGGAGTAATTGTTGGGATGCCACGGAGGAAAACTCCGTGTTGCCTAGACCACGGTCTTGCCTAACACAAGTTATAAATTCGGGCACCGCCGGGAATCGAACCCGAGACCCCAGGATTACAAGACCAGCGTTCTAACCGCTAGACCACCATGGCTCTCTAAGTTAAATACTTATTATTAAAATCCGCACTGAAATTTAGTAACGGTCGTGAGTATTTTTTGTTTGAATTATTGTAGGATGAGGGTTTAAAAAACATGGGAATATAAGATTGTGTGTGAGGCGTACGAACTTTTATTATTGATGTATTTTAACCGGCGTTTTTTTGGTTTTATCGCATGTCTGGGCAGGAATTTTTTGTTAAGTTACTGAGACATGACGAAACTCAACGTCTTTCTTCGAATTACGTCTACCGTAAGAGTTTACAAAAAAATGTTGTTTAGAGTTACAAGGAATTTAGCCATGTAAGAATAATTCTGGATTGTTTTCTTGTTATTAAGGAAATAAATTTTTTACTAACCATCGTAAGGGAAATATTTTTTTATATCGATTGTATTACATGCAGTGGGTAAGAAGTGATTTCTGTTACAAAGAACATGGCCTTGTTATGTTTCTTTTCGAGAAATATCGTGAACGATATATCTCGAAAAGAAATATCGTTCACGATGCTTTCAGACATGTTCTAACAGTCCTGCCAACTTTTTTTGCATTACGTCAGCTAAACTAAATCTGATTTTATGTTCATTAAAGATGAACTGAGGTCAGACTGTATAAAACTGTCCAATAAGTAATGTTGGCGTTGTACAAGCAACTAGAAACGTGGATGTGAAGTACAAAGGATATTCTGCCATTGAAATCTTTAAAGGCGAAAGAGTGAGACGATAGATTGTGTGTCAAGGCCATAGCACACTCCATGTGAAACTGGTCCGGCCGCTTTATAAGAAACATTATTATATAATGGAAATTGGCTTACTTACCTTTTCGTTGGGTTTTCCTTTCCTCGACCATTCTTCAACGTCTGCCAGATTGATGTCTCGTCTCGGCAGGCTGGTTCCAGAATCAAGGGATGTGAGTAACCGTCACTGGCTTTGTTGCCACCAAGAGATAACGTCCAAGAGTTCTTCATCCTCCGGACTCATCGGTTCGTAGTTCTCGTAGTTTTCCTGTTGGTACAAGGACGTCGGCGCGTACGAAGACACAGCAGAACCTGAACCTTCGGACGCGTAAGATGGCGTCGGCGAGGAAGACGCTTCTGAACAAGGCGGTGACAACGAGGAACCAGTGAGAGGTGCCTGTTGTTGGATCAGAAGGGGATGGGTGTTCCCAGACGTGTGATGACCGTAATGTTGTGACGCGACTGGTAAAGTCGTGGTAGCTGTAAGGATCGTTACAGTCGATTCCGGACTACCGGAATAATACCCCGTCTCACTTGTAGTCGTCGTCAAGGTCGAAGACCCTGTTTCTGGTATTGAGGAAGTCGTTGAAGATGTTTCTGCAGCGTGGTCGTCCAACAGCTGCTGAAGACTTCTGATGTACTCGACTGCCATCCTCAGGGTCTCGACTTTGCTTAGTTTCTTGCTCGCACCGCGACTTCCAGAACCGCTGCTGGACGCTGTCGATGAAGACAAGGCGACGGCTACTGAAGGAGGGATGTGGGATCTCAGGGTGGCGAATCCGTTGTTGACCTGTTTCACCCTGTTTCTCTCGCGAGCATTGCGACGTGCCACTGACGCCGGCTGATGTCCTGGAATACCGGAATATGTGAGATGAGTGTTGTGCGAGAAGTTTATCCGACGTTTACATCTCAACGTATCAGCTGTGTTGTTGACCACGACGCTGGTCCTGCCGTTGTCTGCCATCGACGTGGACGCAGGAGTGGAAGTTCTCTTCTGTTGGACTAGGACGGTCTTAGCTGCTGTACCAGGGTGGTGGAGAGGTGAGGGGAGGAAGTGTTGGGGGTCGGAATCACCCGTCGTCGAAGCGGATGATGGCTGAACGAGATTTGCCATCGCCTTTTGCTGGTGTCCGAGTGTCATAACGCTTAAGGTTGTAACTGCTGCCATGAGATGAACCGATAAGAGACTAAAACGCACTTGAAGAATTCACTGAGTTCATAATCTTCTGCTCTGAAATGTTTATAAAGAACCGTTCTCACGTTAACGTCAGTCGTGTTTCCATAACAACTAAGACGCGAGGTCTTTGCAGGGGGGTTTTCCAGTACGCACGTTCACTTGTCTTTTACTTATCGTTACAAGTCTAAATAATGAACAGGATTCACCGCCACTGTCTCGCGCGCACCGAACTTATTCTATGATTTCGCTATGCAGACGCGTGTAAGAAACTGACACTGGCTCTCAACGACCTTGTACCTTCGGTTACAACTCCCGAAATGCTTCTGTCTGCTCTGTTACACTGGTCTATGTACTAAACCAACCTCTACCCCCCCCTTTCCTCCCCACCCCTCCCTACCTCACTCTCACGCACGCACACACACACACAAATACCCCTCCTCTACGTTCTAACATAAGTTTTTCTTCTCTACTTCTGTTCACTATTTCCAATCTTCCTTCCTCTCTTTCACCACATTCAACTTCCCCCTTTTCTACACCAGTACCACAAAAAAAACATTTCAGTCTCGCTCATAAATCCGTCTCTCTCTCTGTCTCTCTCTCTTTTGGTTCGCCGCTCATCCCAGCTGAACGGTGAAGCAGTGGATGTTGGATTCCCAACTTATAGCAGAGTTGCACGTTGATTTTGGAAGGGGGGAACTTTTCAGGGGCAGCTATTGTAATGTGCATGTGCTCAGGCGGTTTGCTACGGTATACTGAAGAACTGCGTTATGCGGACGTTTTGTTTCTCACGCACTGCAAATGTATGCAGTTACTACTGAGTTATATTATTTTTGCAACAGTTTCTTTATATGAATATCAGGTACGGGAATTAATGAATAAAGAGTTCAGTCATGTGTTCGAGTCCATAGTGTGAGTTAAGTTGTTACTTTTTTCTGTGATTAAGTATTATATTTTTTATTAAGTTGGTTCAATTCTTGAGGTTAAGTGCGTTTTTAATGAGTAGTAATTTCACTGTAAATTTTCTGAAATTGTGACGTCATTTCTTCTCACGTGAACTCGAGAATTTTTGTAGGATTTTATGTTTTGATAAGTATGTAAGTCTGTATTGTTCTGTGAGTGTTTGCCCCCGCCCCCGGCAATCTTATGGTTGTATACCGGCTTTTTTGAGGTACATGTTGCCGCCATTTTCAGTGTTTAAATGAAGGTTCGATGCTAAACAGTATGAGCTATAGAAAAGAGTTGTTGAATAAATTAAGTGAAGGTATCCAAGCAAAAGACTACTTAAGGCTGCAGTTATTATAGTGTGATAAGCGCCTGCTGTTCCTGCATGCCCGCTTTACAGACGTGGCGGAGATGTTGCCGAAGAGTGTAGGCGATAACAAAGAAACACTTTATTCTGGCATTACTGGCTAATGCTATTTGATGAATTTGTTGTTTTGTTTTTTGATAATAATACGAAAGCCATAAACGCAGAATTGAGAGGTATCGACTGTTGAAACAGGTGGTACATATAGTTACCACTGGGTTTCGAAATAAATTTTAAAACTATGTAATTGTTCTGCAGCACGCGTTCCTGCAGTGTGTGATCAGAATCCTTGGCTACGAAGGGAGACAAACTGAGGTAGTATTGGCCGGCGGCTGGCAAGTTTTGGTCCGATGCTGAGGCGGCAAGCCACGTCGAGAGGGAAGGAGGGAGGGAATATAAGCATCCACCCCTCTCCGACCCGCAACAATCTACCTTTCTAACCTTACCTGGCGAGACAACCCAAAACTCCGAATTCAGAGCAACAACGGCGAACAGCCTTGTTTCAAGTATCTCAGTCAGAGTAGCATAATTTGGCTGTGGTGTTTATTTGTATTTGGGTCTGATAAATTTATATTATTCCATTTATTCACAATGCGATGTATTTATTTATATGTATCTGAGACAAACCTTGCCCCTGAGGTACAGCAGCTATTTCTGAAATACATTTTGTTTTATCATACGTGTTACATGCATTAAACGGATTTCGCGTGAGGTATTATATATTTTACATGAGTTTCTTTCGAATGATGTTTGATGTTTCTAGAATGACTGTTGAAGGCCCCTAGTGTCGTGTTCGCACTGGATGTTGGCCAAATATTTTCTGAGTGATTGGAAACAGTTCCAGTTGCGCCTATAAAGTAAAGGTAAGTAAAGTAAAGTTTGTCCCACTATACGCCATGTAGGCGTTTGGGGTGAGTGGAGGTATAGCTCCTCTCTTCCTTGACCTCGGCACTAGATGGGGGTGAGTGGTCAGCATCACGCCCCGGCCGGCTTTACCCCCGGGAAAGGACCCCGGTACCCATTGTAGAGGAGGCTGGGTGGGCCCCAGAGCCGGTCTGGACGCAGAGGCTAGAGGAAAAATCCTGCCCCCATCGGGGATCGAACCCCGGTCGTCCAGCCCGTAGCTAGTCACTATACTGACTGAGCTCCTATAATCATTGTAATTGTTTTGCATTGTCTACGAAGAAGAAGAATCAGAATAAAGATATAAAGAATAGATTTTCCCCAAGATTTACGCTTTTATTTCAGTTAACGCTGTAATGTATTGACGATAATTAAAATTAATAATTAATTAAATAGTGGCTTGAAAAATTTTTAGTCTGTTATATGTATAAATTCTTTAAATATTAAACTCTTGAAAACATAAGTTTGAAGTGACAATAAGTTTACTTCGAATTTGACTGAAGATTTGATAGAAGAAGCAAATGGTACTTAGTTTGAGTTAGGCCGCTTGATTGTTATTAGCATATTTTGTTTTAATTTTATTATATTGAATATTTTTTTTTGTAATTATTCAATCTAGATGAATATTGATCCATGTCTGTTTATTAAAAATGACAAAAATTCAATATTATAAAGAAAATTCAAATTTGAGAAACAGCCTGAAAATTAACTTATCAAAATCGCATTATCAAGACTTTTACGAAAGCTCAGTTACTGCTAAAATTTTCATGTAATGTATAAGAAAGATTGTTCATAACCCACTTTTCATAGGCCAAGCTCACTGACGTATACACGTTTCCGAATCAGAAAGATAAGACATTTTAGAATATAAAATTCCATGCAAACTTTATAAATAATTAATTATCGAAATCGTAGTAGGTCTAAAGCAGACACTGATAGAGTTTCAGTCAGTATTGGAAAATAAATAATATTTTTATATGGTTTACGTTGCTGTAGGTAATACGGAATTCGGAATTTTTTAATTACTAGAGCAGAACGCAACCAACCTTGAGTAAGAAACTAAACTAACCCCCGAGAATTGAGGGTTAAAACAATTGACCAACTCCCCATTCTGGGGGGGTTGGTTGCGTTTTGAAATCTTGAGTAA